GGGCCCTGGCCCGGCAGTGCCTGGTAAGTCAGTGTGCAGGGCCCTGACAGAGATTGCTGACCTGAAAAACAAAATGTTTATGGACCAAAGAGAGAGTACCATGGGAAGGGTGCTGGCTTTGCATGCCACCAACCTGAGTTTGAGTCCTGGCACCCCAGATGGTCCTCTGAGTCCTGCCAGGAATGATCCCTAAGAGTAGAGCAGGAATAATTCCCGAGCATCATAGGGTGTGGCCCCCAAATCATTTTTTTTTTAAAGTAGGGTTTTTTGAATCATACCCAGCAGGACTCAAGGTTTACTCCTGGCTTTGTTCTCAGGAATCATTTCTGGTGAGGCTCAGGGGACGTATGGAGTGCCAAGGATTGACCAGGGGAGTCTGCATAAAGTAAGTGCATATACTATCTCTGGCCTTGGACTCTTTCCTCAGGCAAGCATGGTGCTCCCCCTCCACAAACAGGAGCCAGTTCGGACACCTGCATGGCAGGAGGGAGCAGGAGCCGAGGCACAGACCAGGCTAAAGGCCAGTTCTCACCAGACTGTCATTTAAGGCCTTTGATGCTATTTCTGCTCCTGTCAATTCCCCTGGGGGCATCCTGACGCCCTACAGCTGATCAAAGCCTCAGCCTCACACCAAAAACCCAAAATAGATCATAGATTTACACGCAAAATGTAAGCCTTTCAAACACCTTTCAAACACAGGGGGAAAGAGAGAATCTCTAGGACCCAGGACTCCACCTCCTTCTTGGACTGGACATCAAAAGCACGTCCATGAAAGGAGAAATGGATAAATCAGACCTCATGCAAATCAAGTGCTCACTCTGTGTAGGATGTCTAGAAGGATGAAAGGCAATCTGTGAAAAATGAACTCAGGGCTGGCGAGAGAAGTGCTCGCCTTGCATACAGCTGCCTCAGCTCAAGCCTCAGCACCATGTGTGCACACAAGCCAGGTGCTGGCCTGGAGGAGTTATCCCAGAACCACAGGGCTGCAGCCGCACTGTATCCTCCGGCCTCGCTGTGAACCACCTGCCCAGGTTTCCTGAGCACCACTAGGACGGTTACCCCTCCTCCCAGAGTCACACACAATGAATGAATTTAGTGAAGTTAAACTACAAAACTGTTTATATACGAAAGTCAATTGGGTTTTTTTGGGTGTGGGCGGGGGTTGGAGGCTACACTCTGGGTTACTCCTGGCTCTGTACTCAGGAATCACTCCTGGTGGTGCTCAGGGAACTATATGGGGTTCTGGGATTGAACTTGGGTAGACCTCATGCAAGACAAGCACCCACTTTACTATCTCTCTAGCCCCCCAAATCAATTATTTTTATACACTAACAATGAAGTACAGAAAGGGAAATTAAGGGAACAATCCTACTTCAAATAGCTCTAAAAAGATAACTTGAGCCAAAGCGGAAAAATATATATACAGTGAAAACTTTAAGACATTGCTGAAAGAAATTAAAGATAAATGGAAATGATAGTCCATGCACATGAATTGGGGGAATTCGCATTGCTAAAAGTTCATGCTACCTAAAGCAGCGTATAGGTCCAGTGCAATTCCTATCAAAATTCCAATGACAGTTTTCTCAGAAACAGAACAACAATGCTAACTTCACAGGGAACCACCAGAGACCTTGAATAACCAAAACGATTTGAGAATGAGGATCAATGCTGGAATCGTCACAGTTTCTGATTTTAAACTACATTACAAAGCTACAGTAGTCAAAACAGCACAATATTGAAATAAAATGACACAAAGCTCAGTGGAACAGAATAGAGAGCCTATGAATAAATCCATACACATATGACCAATTAATTTACAGTAAAGAAGCCTCAAACAAATAATGGGGAAGGGGCAATATCGCATCAAACTGTTCTGGGAAATCTGGATGGCCTATACAAAAGAATGAAACTGAATCAATATCTTACACCATACACAAAAATTAATTCTAATCAATTAAAGACTTATCAGTGTAAAACCTGAAACCATAAAATTCCTAGAGAAAACATAGAGGGTAAATTCTTTGACATTGTTCTTGGAATGTTCATTTTTTTAATTGGGCATAAAAGTCAAAAGCAGAAAAAACAAACTAACAACAACAACAACAAACAAAAAAACAAGAATGACCACACGAAAGTAAAAAACTTCCACACAGCAAAGGAAACCCTCAATAAAATGAAATGTAAATCTATCCAACGAGGAAAGGTTTGCAAATTCTATATCTAGCTAGAGCTTAATATACAAATATATGAGGTATTCACACAAATCAATGGAAAATAATAATAGGGGCCCGAGAGCTAGTACAGCAAGGAAGCTGCCTTGCAGACCACCTGGCTTCTAACCCTGGCACCATAACCATATATGTTTCCCTGAGTCCCTCCAGGAATGACCCTGACTACAGCACCCGGACTAAGCACTGAGCACTAGCATGGCCCCCTCCTCCCAACACAACAACGTAGGCAGAGGAACTGAATGGACATTTCCCAAAGGAAATATTGGGCCAGTACATTTTCTGTATTACTTGGGTGGCAGTTGCTTGAGTCATACCTGGAGGTGCAGTGCTGGGGACCATGTACTGCTGGGGGACTCTCAGACCTCCTATACGCAAGACATGTGTTCAGTCTATTGAACTACCTCTGCAGTCCCAAACAGTATGACTTTATCTCCCCACCCTCCACGCCCACAGTGCTGGGAATCAAAACCAGGAGCTCACACATACAGACAAATACCCTACAACTGTACTATATCCCTGGCCTCTAAAGGAATCATATAGATGACCAACAGGTATACAGACACACACACAGACTCAATATCATAATATCATCAGGGAAATGTGAATCAAAACACCTGTGAAAATGGCATCAACAAGACAAAGTGGGGGCCAGAGAGATAGTACAGTGATTAAAGGTGCTCGCCTTGGATCAGCTGCATGCAAGACAAGTGCTATCTTTCTGGCCCCAGAAAAACAAAAGTTTTATATCAGCAGAAAATATTTGCAGACCACCCACCTGACAAAAGTCTTGCATCTGGAATCTAGAAAGGTCTCAAAAGTCAACCTCAAAACACCAAACAGTTCTATTAGAAAACGCACAAAAGACTTTAGCAGAAGTTCCACCTAACAGGACGTGCCAATGGCCAATCTGCACCTGAAAATACGTCCAAAGTCATTAGTCATCGGGAAAATGCAGATCAACAACACAGAAAGAGATGATTACACACCAATCAGTATGGCGAAAATACACCCATAGTGACAATAGGAAATGTTGGCAAGGAGGTAGAGAAGTTGGACCTCTCAGGCATCGTTGGCGGGAATGGAACACAGAACATATGGCAAAAACATATTCCTGTATGTGAATGGTTGTAAATAGTATGTATATGCATATAGCATATCCCTGTAGCTAGATTCATAATATGGCTACATGTGATAAGGTTGCATACATCTACACACGCGCATATACACAATGAGCGCGTGTTAACTGGTGAAATCTAAACAAGCCCGGAAGGACACCCACGTCAGTATTCTTGCTGTGCCATTATTATTGCAGTAGAGTCATGTAGATGATACCACCAGGAGAAACTGAGTGAAGGCTGCACGCAACCTTTGTTTTTGTTTTTGTTTTCGCAACTTCTTGTAAATCTATAATTATGGGTAGGTAACTGCAGAGATTGGAAGCCTTTCAGCTCTAAGCAAGAGTCCCAGGGCCTCTCAGGATAAGAGCCGCTGAGGCGCAGAGAGGGTCTTTTTTTCCTGTCTTTTCCGTTTCAGGACAAACCCAGCTGTGCTCAGGGCTTCCCAGCAGGACTCAGGGGACCAAAGGGGGTGGGGTGGGGAGGGCATGGGCAGACCCTGGTCCAAAGCACAGTCTCCAGACTAGGGTGAAAGGCAGAACTCAGGTCTTGAGGGATCAGGGATGGTGCTCCAATGGACCCCAGCTTGCAGAGCCAGGTGAATGGAGTGTGGGGCGGGTCCGAGAGATGTCACCAGCCACTCCGTCCTAGTACCTGGCACTGAGCACAGGGCCGGGCTCAGCAGGGCACAGCCTTATCCAGATCCAGGGTGAGTGCGGTGGGCGTGGGGGCACAGGAGGGAAGGGCTGTGCCAGGCTCCTGGCGGCTGCTTGTGGCACGCGACTGGGTGGCAGCTGTTTGTTGGGCCAGATTTAATGGGCTTTACTATCCCCACCCTGCCAGCTTGCTTTTAGATGTGGTTCCCACGCCCCCCATAACCAGGGTCCCAAGCCCCGGGGACGCGGAGCAGAGAGCCGGACTGATCCCCAGCAGCCCCAGGGTTCAGGTGGGGCGCCACTCTTCTTGCAGGACCGGTCCCAGGTTTGGGGGGCCTGGGGGTGCTCCGAGACAAGGCGGACTCCCTGGGCTGGAGGCAGGGGTGCGGACGAACGTCTGGGTACCAGTTCTGTTCTACGGGAGGCTCCCACTCGGCCCGGCTCGGGCCGGGGTGGTGGGGTCGGGGGCAGCGGGTGCCCAGGCGGTGCCAAGCGGCGCGTGTCCAGGCCGCGCGCACCCGCCAACCTCCGCGGGGCGCGCCACGTCCCGGGGTCCCGGGGAGTTGGCGCGTGGCAGTCGGGGCTCGGGGAGCGCCAGGTGAGCGCGGCCCCGTCGGGGGCGTTGACTCAGCTTCCGGCCCCGCCCCGGGCGCACGTGACGGCAGGTGGCGTGGGCGGGCGGGCGGCACTTAGTCACCGCGCCCGCGCCCTCCCGGGAGCCCGCCGCCCGCACCTCCTCCGGGCAGGCCCCTCGGCCGGCGGCCCCGACGCCCGGGATGCGCGGCGGGGCGGGGGCGCGCGAGTCCAGGCCCGGCCTCCCGCGCTGGGAAAGTTCTGGGAAGCTCCCCGGCCGGCCCGGCCCCCGCGCCCGCCCCGCCCCGCTCTGACCCGGCCCGCTCCCCGCCCCCCGCACAGGCGCCCGCGCACCGAGGCGCGCGGGAGCCCAGAGCCAGCTGCGCCCCGCCGGGGCCGGGACTCGGAGCGTGCGCGCGGGCACCATGGCCTTCTCCCAGGTGCAGTGCCTGGACGACAGCCACGTCAACTGGCGCTCCAGCGAGGCCAAGCCCGAGTTCTTCTACAGCGAGGAGCAGCGGCTGGCGCTGGAGGCGCTGGTGGCCGACGGCCCCGACGCCTTCTACGCGGTGCTCAAGCGGGAGAACATTCGGGACTTCCTCTCCGAGCTGGAGCTCAAGCGCATCCTGGAGACCATCGAGGTGTACGACCCGGGGTCCGAGGACCCCAGGGACCTGGGCCGTCCCCGGGGGCCCGCGGAGGACGGTGTGGGGAAGGAGGAGGAGGAGGCCGGAGCCGGGGACGGCGCCCCCCACGAGGCTGAGCCACCCCCCTCGCTGGAGTACTGGCCCCAGAAGTCGGACCGCTCCATCCCTCAGCTGGACCTGGGCTGGCCCGACACCATCGCCTACCGCGGGGTGACCCGGGCCAGCGTCTACATGCAGCCGCCCATTGATGGACAGGCCCACATCAAAGAGGTGGTCCGCAAGATGATCAGCCAAGCCCAGAAGGTGAGCACCTCGCAGGGCCTCCGGAGACGAAGCTGGCCCCCAGGGGCTGGCCTGAGCCCCAGCAGCCCCCTCCAGAGCCCAGGACCCCGCAGGGGACTCCAGACCGGTCCTCTGGGGTCTCGTGCCTCCGTGGTGTCTTTGCAGAGGGAGAGGGGCGGTGGGTGCGTCCAATCAAGCCTTTGTGCCTTGCTGGGGGAGGGGGGTGAAGTTTCCCAGACCTGGCGAGCAGGTTCCCCAGAAGAAGGTGCTGCCTTGGGGTGGGGTGGGCAGGAAGTATGGACTTTCTCTTGCTCCTGTCATTTGGGGTGGCTCTGATTCACCCTGAGAAGCTCCACCAGCCCCCAAGCTGCATTGTTTGCTTGAGTGAGGAAGTAGAGGTCCAGGCTGAGAAGGAGCAGAAGCAGGCAGGAGTGAGGTGCAGTAACAGGCCCGCCCTTTCTCTGCCGGCCAGGAGGTGGGGTTGGGGGATGCATTCCTCAGGATGGGAAGAGGAGCGAGTCCCCAGGCTGGATTCCACCTCAGCAGGCACCCCTGGTCCGCCCCTCCCAGACCTGTGCCCCGCACTGCAGTGTCCTTTCCTGCCTGGCGTTGACTCCTCTGAGCAAGGGTGCTCGCCTGATCCCGAGTGGGTGCTGTATCTCCAAGTACAAATGCCTTTTCTCTGACTCAAGGCACTTCCTGATGCGGGTGCTTCAGCCCCGGAGCTGAGAAGGGTCTCAAGGCCGGACTGAGTATAGAGCGGAGCGGGGACTGTTGGTCTGCTGGTCCTCCACTGTGCACGTGACTTTCCCGGGCAGTACAACCTCTTCGCTGTCCCCGCCCTGATTCACACAAACACAACATGCATGTCGGGACCTTCCTGGCTGACCACCAAGGCTGGGGAGCTCCCGGACAAGAAATCAGAAGTGGGTCTGGAGCGGCCGAGGTGTCTTGGGTTTCCGGAGAGGGCATGCCTGTCCTGGGGTGGAGGGGTTGGGGGGGCTGAGCCCAGTAGCAGTGACAGGGATTCTGGCTCTCCAGCTGATCCCAGGCAGCTTTGGAGCTTCATATTTCTGGGCTGTAAAGCTCTGGAGGGGAGGATAAAAGCCACGTCTCGCCGCTGTGGAAGGTGGAGTCAGGTGACTGGAGTGAGGAAGAGCTACAGGAAGAGGAGGGCCGGGAGGAGGAAGGTGGTTCTCACGAGGAGCAGCCGCCCCACACCTGCCTGGGCTGGGGGTCCAGCAGGTGCTGTTCCCACAGGCTCTGACTTGAGGTCCTGGAATCCAGTCCCCCAGGTGGGGGTGCTGGGATCCCTTTACTTCATCTCTGCCCCCACTTAACAATGGGGAAACTGAGGTGCCTGCTGTGGTCGGGTCTCCCTTCCCCATCCCCTCCCGACTAGAGCAGGAAGGAGGCGGACTCCCCATCCCAGCCTGACATGGGAGCGGCCAGCGTCTAATCTCCCCCAGACAGAAAGGCAGTCGGGCCGTGATGCGCCAGATAGGGGTGCCTGGGGCAAGACTGGGGACTCCTGAGTGGCCTCCCCCTCCTCCCCCTGGCCAGGGCTGGGCCCCTGCCACACCACGCAGTCCCTCAGTCCCCCTCCCCCAGACTTCATTTGCTGCCCCTCACAGAAGCCCTGCACGTTCCCATCTCCCGGAGGGGAGCCAGGAAGAGATTCGTGAGAGGCTGGAGCCGACTCTTCAGTCATGGGCTGCCCTGGGAGGCTGCCCCGGGATGGCCACATCAGCGGGGCGTCCTGTTGGCCAGAACAAGAGTCTCCAGCCACAGAGGCCAAGCCAGGGGACACTGAGGCACGGATGGGAGAGGAGTTGCCTGGGTGAGCCGGGCTTCTGCTTCTCCACCGTGGCCCCCAGACCGTGATGACATGCGTGAGCGTGGCCTACGGGAACAACAGCTGCGGTTGGCTGGGCGTCAGGCTCTTGGTCATCTCAGTTATCTGCCGTTCGTAGAGGAGAAACTGAGGCTGACTGAGGAGTCTCTGCCAAGGTGGCCAAGCTAGTTCTTGGGTGGAGGGATGGGGTGCGGGCCCGTGTCGTCCTGAGACTCTAGGAGGGGTCCCCAGGAGGACACAGGGACGGGACGGGCAGGGCAGGGAGGGGCCGCTCCTGAGCTCCCCTAGCCAGGCTGCTCCCGGCTCCCCGAGATCGGGACGCGTGGGACGCGGGTGCTGACGGAGCACCTTGCTGGGCCCGCCCGCCTGCCCGCTGGGAGTCCTCCCATGAGTCACCTTTCCCTCACCCCCCCATTTCCCATCCTGACCCACCACTTCCCATTGGGACAGAGGACTCTCCGCACCAGGCCAGGGAGGGGGCGCCCGAGCGCTCACCCCTACCCACCAGCCCACTAGGGCACCTGGGCTGAGGAGCTGAGTCAGAGCAGCCCGTCAGCAGGGCAGGGGGCCCTGGGGCAGGGAAGTGACACAGCACAGTCTCGGCCTGCCTGGCTCAGTTGGGGAGTGGCCGCCTCCCCGCAGGGCTCCCTACACCCCCCCTTTCCCAAAAGACTGCAATGAATGGACTGGTGTGCTCTGCCTCCAAGCTGGGCGCCTGCACCCCCAAGCTCATCTTCACATCTGTGAAATGGGTACAAGGAACGAGGGGCCCTTGAGCTCTGCTCCGGGACCCCCTGTGACAGGAGCCCTGTGGCTTGCCAAGACCTCTCCCAGCCTGGGGGCTCAGCTCTCCCCAGCTGGAAGGTCACTGGCAGGCCCCGCCCCTGCCCCAGGAACTAGAGATTTATCTGGGGAAAAACCTGCTGTGGGGTTCCAGCTGCATACCAGAGGCAGGCCTGTAGCATCTCGCCTGGGAGGGCCGCCTCGCTTGGCTGCAGCCTCACCAAGGGGTGAGGCTGGGCTGGGGAGGTTAGGGTCCGGAGGGAGTGCCCCCCCACACCTAGGGCAGGGCTTGGAGCAGGATCCCTTCAGCAGGCCCGGGAGCTCCCCAGGAAAGGGCCAGCACAGAGGGGCCCGGGGGAGAGTGAGTGGCAAAGGCTGGTCTGGCACCCAGATTCTAGGCCGCCCTGGTCCAGTCTTGGGAACGGACACCAGAGGTGTCAAGTTTTTGGCAAGGGCTGCCCAGCGGGAAGGGGCTGGAACCGGGTTGTGTGACGCCCGATTAACCCCACGTCTTTTCTGACAGGCTCCCGCCTTCACACGCTGAAGGCCTGGCCCACGGCTTGGCTCTGGGAGAAGCTGCTTAATGAGGCATTTATTAAGTGCCAGCTCCATGCCAGGTGCTGAGCGGGCATTTTACCTGCACTGCAACCCGCCCGATGGTAACGCCATAACGCAGGGGTTGCTTGCAGTGTGGTGAGGAAACTTCGGCTGCTTGGGTTCAGGTCCTGAGCTCGTCAGGGCCGAGGCCCCTCCCACGCAGACTGAATGTGGCCCTGAGCCCCCTCCCCCAGGGGAAATCTGGGCTGTTCTTCCTGGGCTTCCCTTGGGAACCAGCCCCTAGCCAGCCCCTAGCTGGACAAAGGACAGTGAAGCTTCTTGTCCCCATCCAGCTCTCTCCCCCGCCACCTCTCCTGTGGGCCAGACAGGGTGCACTCATTGTCCCTGAGTGGCACCAGGGCAGCCTCGGTGCCTGCAGAGGCCCTGGCATGGCTCCAAGGGGGCACTGGCTCAGGCTCAGCACAGCCTCCTGCTTCCAGCCTGTGCCCGGGGCTCTCCTCACCTGCCAGGCGGGAACCATCTGATAACATAATCCCAGGTGCCGGCTCCGCACTCCAGAGGCTTCCTGCCCACCGGGGCGTTCACCTCTTCATTGAGTCTTGGGAGCAGCTCTGGGCATTTGCATCTTAATTGAGAGTTTGGAGCTGCTGCCAGGGGGGAGGATGGCGCATCGGGCTCGGAGTCTAGGAGTCCAGGGCGGCACTTCAGGGCAGCCAGTGCTGGCCCCCGACCCCTCCCCGGCCACCCCACACACCTTCCCAGAGTCAGGCACGCAGAGCCAAACCAGGGGCTCTGATGTTGCAGGGAGGGAGGGGCCAGCCTCTCGAGGGTCTGCACCTGCTGCTGCGTGGCCTTGGGAGTGACAGGAAGGTGCGGGGCAGTCACAGCGCCTCTGGGCCACGCCCCTTCATCCCATGGCCCTGATGGGTGGCATTTGCAGCCCACCTCCTCGAAGCTCGAGCGGGCCCAGTAACGTCTCCATTGGAGACTTTGTTGTTACTGTGTCTGGCATATCGAATACTCTCGGTAGCTTGCCGGGCTCTCCGAGAGGGGCGGAGGAATCGAACTCGGGTCGGCCATGTTGGCCGCTTGTAAGGCGAACGCCCTACCCGCTGGGCTGGAGCGATAGCACAGCGGGTAGGGCGTTCGCCTTACAAGCGGCCAACATGGCCGACCCGAGTTCGATTCCTCCGCCCCTCTCGGAGAGCCCGGCAAGCTACCGAGAGTATTCGATATGCCAGACACAGTAACAACAAAGTCTCCAATGGAGACGTTACTGGGCCCGCTCGAGCAAATCGACGATCAACGGGAGGGCCTTTACCTTTACCTTTACCTCCTCGAAGCATGTGGGCTCTGTCTCGTCCCCAGTCCGGAGCTACTCTCCAGTCTCTCCCCATTGCCGGGGTAGCAGCAACATTCGCCTGGTTTGTGGTGAGACTCAGGTGGGGAAGGGGGTCACACGGCCCTTGTTCCGTATTCCTCTCAGGAGTGTTGGATTCATTTCTTTGAAAAATGTCATGGGGGTAGGGGTCGCCTTGGATCTGCGTAATGCTTTGGGGAGTATTGCCATTTTGACAGCGTGAATCCTCCCAATCCGTGAGCAGGGGCTGTTGTAGCCTTTTATTTCTTGATGTGTATTTTGAAGTTTTCTTTGTGCAGGTCCTTCGCCCCTGGGTCTGGAGGAGCTGGCACCCAGTATTGCTCATTCTTCTCTTCCCTGCTGCGTTCCTCTGTTCTCTCCAGCTTCTCTGTGGGCCACTTCCCAGAGCAGCCAGGGCCGTGAGCACCCTGTGCTGGGGTCTGCATTGGGGCTAGGGAGTCGCCA